GTTGGGGGCGGCAGCCGCCCGCCAGCCTCTCAGGAGTCTTTGCCAAGGCTGGGCGGGCGTCTGGGAGGTGGTTCGGTCTTTGATCTGATTTGGCTGGTTTCTCCGCGCGGGCCTGTGGGGCTTTTGAACACCTGGGAGCTCTCGGGCACCGAATCCCGCTGCTTTTCCCCACTATTGGGGTCACTGTGGGGCCGCAGAAGGACATAGATTGTAGGTTCCCAAACTGGGGAGAAATTCCAGGGGGGGGGCACAAGGCAACTCAGCCCCCTCCCCCCCTGCAAGACTTGCTGGAGTGGGGGGAGGTTGGAGTGTCCCCAGCAGACTTCAAAGGGCAATACCTGCTCTGCTCTTAAAAGGGCAATTTTTTTTTTTTTGCTCAACATGTTTTGCTGCTATTTTTTTTGGGGGGGGAGCATGAGGGTTTCTCAAAAATCAAAACGGAGTGTGAGGCCAAAAAGTTTGGGAACCACTTCTCTAAATTAACCGTTCAGCAAGGGAGTGAGGGATCTGAACTCAGCCCCTGGGTTGCTAGCTCCATTGCTCTTTTGTCTTTGGAAAGTTTACACTTCTCTTCTTGAAATAGTGATTGACAGGGAGATAAAATCCCTTTTAACCAGTTAACCGGTTAAAAATTACATTTAATGTGTTAACTGGTTAACAGGAATTCTGTGGGTGGGAGGTCACGCCAGCCCCAGGCCGTGGCATGATGTGGCAGGGCCAGTCAGGCTGGAATGGGCCTCTGTCCACAGCACAGCATGGTAGGCCCAGCCAGGCTGGAATAGCCTCCGACCCATGTCAGTAAGGCTGATCCTTACTGGTTTATCGGTTAATCGGTTACATCCCTACTGGTCACACTGCTCTACCCAAGACGAGGCTGCCGACAAGTTGTGTTCTAGACTGCACTGAGGGCTGGCTCCCTGGGCTACCTACCACGGTAAAGTTTGATTCATCAGCACCGCCTGAACTTTCCTTCAGAACTGTAGCACAGTGAAAATTCAGCCAGTCCTAGAACTGGTTGCTATGATACTTTGTGGATCTGCTTAACAGACACAAATGATGAGCGAATAACATAAAATTTGCCTTGTGACGAGTTCAAGCTTCACAACAAGAATGCTTTATGTGGGGGCATGAATATGTATGATCATCACCCGGTAGCAGCTCTATTCATCCAATGGCAAGGCAGGCTCAGATGACTCCTTTGGGAAGGCCCTGAGATCATGGCATCCTTTCAAGCCAGAGTTTAGAAATACAAAAGCGATTTGATACCCTGCTGTGCCCATGCTACCTATAGCAATGCTAATATCTTGCATTGGCATGAAGCGGAGAGATGGGAAACAGCTGAGTGACAGCTGAAGTAGTCTGTTTAGAAATGGAGAAAATACTTCCTACTAGGACCCCAACGATTTCTCCAACAGTAAAGGGAATCTGGGTTAACTTTCCCCTCCCATGTAAAGAAATCAAGCTGGGTAAATCCGACAGGTTCAGCGCATGGTCCGATCCTGCTTGGGAAGTTTTGCCGAGGGTGGCTGGAAAGCTGCCATTATCAAATGCTCTTCATCAGTGCCCTTCCAGCACTCCTACAGGCATTTTGTTGCCCCATGGGCCAGACAGACACCATACCTGTATGCCACCTCTCCACCCTCTAGGATGCGAGTAGCAGACCTGGGAACAGGGCCCTCCTTACGCATGTGAAGAATATGCAGCTGTGTAGGGCACCCGAAAATTTGGGGCCCCACTGGATCTTAATGTCCACCCCCTCCTCTTCCTATCCCCGTTCTGTGGATCTGCCTCCTCCGGAAAGGATCTAATTAATTCAGAACTGACCTGCCAGAGCTATTAGCAGAAGACTGAACCTGCGAAAGAGCCATCCAAGTGGTAATGAAGCCACTGAACTGGCCTTTGCCAACCCCAGGTCTAGACGGTCAGATTCTGCATTTGCTGTGTTAGTTTACAGAACCGTAATTTAAAATTTGCTTTAAAAATATTTCATCCGCATGTGGCTGAGGGTTATTAAATCGCATCTCTCAAAACCTGTCATCCTCCTCTCCCCCGACATCGAGCAGAGGGGCTCTGCTTCAACAGCACTGCAGAGGGCTCCATACATGCTAGGGACGGCCCTGCCTGGGAACCTGGAGGACAGATGTTTGGCTGGTATGAATTGTCATCACTCTAGCCCTACAGCTAAAAGGGGCACCTTTGGCTGCTTATTGTAATGATCTGCATGCCAGGGGTGGCTAGAAGCGTGACTTTCCCCTGGGCTGGGGAGCCAACCCACCTTCTGAAGGGCAGCAAGTGGCTTCAGTAAGGGCAGGGACTGGCCTGAAAGACAGATGGACAGACAGACAAAACTGCCAGTAATACGGATTTGGAGCCAAAGCCAGAAACCTGAGACTGCAGCCAAGCAGGGCCTGGGAGTCACCTACCAAAGCAGGAAAAGTCTCGGGCAAGGAAGCTCGGGAGTGGGGCTGTCTTTACAAATGATAAACTTGAAAAACAACAAATAGTCTAGTAGCACCTTAAAGACTAACAAAACATGTCAGTGGTATCATGAGCTTTCGTGGGCACAACCCACTTCTTCAGACCACGTCCACCTGGTCAACCCGGTACTTGGTGCACAGGAGGCAGGTCAAGTTGGAGAAGAGGCCCCGGGCCGTCTTCGTGGTGTTGTGCAGCCGCTCCAGCAAGTCCTGAGCCTCGGGGTTCAACTCCTTCTGGTCCCGGGTGATGTTGCCCAGCGAGGCGTTGAGGAAGACGACGACTTGGTAGAGCGCCACCAACACGTCCTTCCTGGGGCTGGTGCGGTTGGCGTGGAAGGCCGGGAAGAAGATGCCCTCGGCCTTGCAGAGCTGGTCCGCGTGGCTGCTGAAGGGGTCCCCTTGGGGGGAAAAGGTGAGGAGGGAAACTGAGGCGCGCAAGCCCTGCCTGACTCCCTCAAGAGGGTTCTAGTCCTCCTCGCTGGGCAGGAAACGGCCCCGTTCTTTTCTGGGGGTCCCCTTACCACGGCGTTCTAGGATTCCCCTACCAGGGAAGGTCTAGATGGGGGTTGGTCCTGCCGGGAGGGCAGGGAACTGGACTTGAGGACCTCTCAAACTATGTGTAAATTGAAATCCCCTAGAAACCCTGTTTTGTTTGGTGTAAGTACTTTTCAACTCATACACCTGGCACACAGTGGGGAGAAAAGAACTCCGCGAGCAATTCAGGAGTGTCACCTTGCCATCCAGCCCTCCGGAAATCCTAGCCCACTGATCCCGGCCCCTCTGGCCCCCCGTCCTGGCCTGGCTCCAGGAGGGGCTACTCAG